GCCACCACAACCCCGGACTCTCCGCTCACCCAGAGTAGAGGGCATCCATACTGCGAAAAAACACAAGAGCAGCACAGCGCACAATCACGTTCTTCACCCACCCACCCCAGTGCCTCACTGCGCAGAGTGACTGTGGGGGTGACCATGTCAGACTTGGTAATTCCTTAATGCCGCCGGGTGCGTACTTTTGGCTGTTGGATAGCGGAGGCGACGCTGTTGTTGTCATGATTTGGTCTACATCATGAGATGATCCTCCCGAGGATCTTGTAGATAGCTACTTTGTAGGTCTTCTACCTTCCGCCCACAGCACACGCTCGCAGACACTCGACCACCGCGTAGTCGTCTGAGTGTTACAAAGGTTGGGAGATAACAAGCTTGCAAATAACGGTTAGTGCAAGCCGTCTCGAAAGCCTACAACGTCGCCTTCGTTACTGACTGCTGTGTACGCTCTCGCGAATGGGGAATAGTCTACTGCTGTAGTACCGAACACGCGAAAACTTGCGTGGATTGCCCGTCGGGAGCTTCGCTTCCATCCCGTCACGCGCAGTGTAAAAAACTTCCTCCAGGTCTTTTTTTTTTATGTTGATGCTCACAGAAGATGTTCAGCTGCAGCTCGGATATTACGCAATTGATATCACCCGTGGTTGATAGGGGGCGCCGATGCGTGGACCACAGAACGAAGATATGGCGTTGGATACCACCCCCTCACATGTCGCCCGTGCGAGTGATTGCCGTGACACGAACCGAACACCGGCTACGAAATGTCCTCCGTAAAATGATGGCGTCATTTGCGGTCGCCGTAGTGAGATTTGTGGGGATGTTTGTCCTGTTAATTACATACTTATAATATATAATATATTGTATGTGTTCGTAAATAAATAATTTTTTCGTTTGAACGGAGACGTTATGCATCACACCGCAATTCTTGGGCCTGTTCTGTGGGTTGTGGATTCCGACAGGTGCCATTTTGCGTTTGATGTCAACAGGGTTTCGGGTCTGTAGTACTAACAATATATATATGTGTGTTTTTTTTATAAATTACTCAATTTTTATTTTTGAGCAGGGGATAGAGACGCGTGCCCGCTGCAAGCACATATTCCATCGGCCCGAGGCTCATCCGTGCCGTGGTGCAGCGGCGGAGAGTTTTTAAGTCGAGGGTAGCTGCTCCCGGGACACATTCGATGCTGCAGTTTATTATCCCTTGGTATTAAATAGGAAGCACATGCAAGGAGGTAATGTGGTTCGGGCAGAGCTTGGCGGTGGGTGTCGCCCCGCTACCCCTATTTTTTGAGGTATTTAATTTTCCCGCTGTCTGACATTACGTGAGGGCAACACAATAAAATGGTAGTCTGGAATTGACGTGAGCCCATGACCTACCGTCTTGACCTACCGTCTGCGCCTGCTACAGGGCGATAGTAACATCAGTCCCTCTCATTATTCGACAGGTTTGCGAGTATGGCGTCGACGCCGACAAAGGATGAGAGGGCTCGAGCACACCCCACGCCCAGCTCGAGTTACCGTGGAAGGGAGGACGCCCGGCGCGCTCCTAGACTTCGCGTGAGTCGAGATGTTTTGTAATGTGGGTGGGGGTGGGTGGGTTGTCGCTAGCGTCCACGGTGGCGATGAAGAACGTCCGCCAACTTACCACGATTCAAAAATGTACTCTTTCTACGGGTGGTGCGACACATCAGGTTCCCACTACTGTATGGCGTTTTTTTTTTTTTTTTGTTTTTTTCTTGCTTTGTTTTATTTATATTCCAACGTATCCCCGTCCCTTCTCTTTCCGTTTATCTGTTCGATAGTGCCGGGAGATGACACCCTCGTTTGTTGTTGTCCTCATTTTTATGGGTTTTTTTTGTTGTCACCGCGTATCGTGTAGAGGGGAGCGGAACTCTGCTTGTTGATGAATGAATCTTTCGTATTCTTCAATTTTATCGCTCTGCTATCTCTTAAGGTCCTTCAATTTATTGCATAGCTTTGCTGTGGGATGTTAACCTGTGACCACGGACTCTGGCCGCCTCAAGTGCTTTTTTAGTACGGAGAGGTTGAGACAGCAGGAGGAGGTGGGAAGATTGACCTCAATGGTTTTCAATACCACAACAACACCAATAACATTCTAGTCCTGAACACGCGAAGCCTCCCTTCCTCGGCCCGTCGTTGTTTTCTCTCTCTAGGCCATGGCGCCTTTGGAGATCGCCATCGACGAGTTTCCCTTCCTGGAGACTCCCTGGAAGAAGAAACCAATGCTCCTCACGAGCATGTTGCCCTTGTGTCTCTATCTCAAGCACCACGACAGGCAGTTCAAATCGAAGAAAGGAAACGCCGGCGTCGTGTTGGGGTGGGTTCGCGATTGGCTACCCACCTCGGATTTTGCGGGAGCGGTGTCACTGGACACCACATCCGACTCGATTGGGCGGATTTTCGCCACCCTTGAGATGGTACTGAGTGTTTGTACGCTGAAACTTTTGCCTGCGTAGGTCGTGTGAGTGTGTCTCGGCAATGTATGGTATTTTGATGCCTTACGCCTGGCTGGGTATGTTGCATGTATCCCTTCGATCTTCGATTAGTACTAGTACATAGTGCCCTTGCTCATCTCCACGTGCGCCTCCACATCCCGCTCACTCTCCCACACCTTTTTGTGTCTGGTTTTTTGTTTCTTGTCGGCTACCGCTTTACTTGTGGCAAGCACGCGGCCTTGTTTGGCCTGGGTCCGACGGAGAGGATCGTGAAGAAGGGATCCGTGTACTCCATCGAGTCGTGCGAGTGGAGCAAGAGTCTGCCCCAGCTCTTGTTGCAGTTGCCAACAGGCTGGTGGACGTCTTCACGACCGGAATCTTCGGTGGCCCTGTACAGAGACGACCGGGGAGCAGTTGTGAAGGTGAGGCTCGCCGCCCGTATCCCGTTTTATTGGTCGAAGGATGTGTTGTCCCTTTCGGCATCCATGGTCTCGTAGGCAAGGAAGGGTTCTTACACCTTCCGCCTTCCGATAGTGGACCCTCCCGACTTAGCCCTTCACCCCCCCCCCCCCCCCCCCCCCCCCCCCCCCCCCCCCCCCCCCCCCCCCC